TTCAAATTATCAGCCAATCATAAGTTAAAAATCAAATTTTTTTTTTTTTTTTTTTTTTTTTTTTTTTTTTTTTTTTAACGGAAAACAATATGGTCGCGACTTGTTCGTGCGAACGAGCGAACACGTTCGTGCAAACATGGAGGGGTGCGAACACGTTCGCCGTGCCACGCAGCTTCATATTTAACAACTAACAATGACTGTAACAACATATCTCCATTACAAGCCACAAGTAATATAAAAAACAACTCTAAAAAACAAAATAACACAAATATAGATATTCAACAAAATCCATACCATTACACATAATTTAAAAATATTGTCAACGATGAAAAAACATTAATTTGCAAAAACTACTTATTTCACACAACTGCATGGTTAGATAGCGATAATATAAACGAGTACATGAATTTAATAATGCAAAACTATAAATTAGTGCTTACACCAGAGGAGTTTTTCTATACATGTTGCATACAACCAAGTGATTTTACAAAAAGACAACAGTACCTTGCTAGAATGAACAATAAACCTTTATCCACCTTTCATCATTTTTTTTTTCCCATGTCATATCAATGGAAATCATTGGACATTGGGATACATTAATTTACTTTAACCATTCATAGCTTATTATGATAGTAAAAAAATAAAAAACAAACTATATTTTGAAAAAATACAAAGATGACCTTTTACTCAAACAAATATAACCAATTCACAATCACTTTATATTGACGGACCTGTTCAATATAATGAATTTGATTGTGGACTGTTTATATTACTAATGATACGACATTTATTACTTTCAAATCCACAAAAGCATGTTAATAATTTCACTGAAAAAGATATGATATATTATAGATTTTTCTTACATAACGAACTACAAACAAACTAACTACAAAAAATATATCCTCACCCACATACACAATATACAGCACAAAAATATATTTGCAAATCATTTATTAAAATAAAAAATACAATAGAACAACAAACCAATGCACTTCGAATAACATAAAACATTTTAATAATATTTAATTTATAAAACTTATCAATGAAAAAAAAAAAAAAAACATAAAAAAAAAAATAAATAAATAAAAAATGAACTGCCTTTGAAAAATTCTCGCGACTGTCCATTCAACTACGTACAAATTCTTGCTACAAAATTTTACTTCGGTAAGCTTTATAACCACTAATCGAAAACAAACCTCTATACTTCCAACTTTGCACAAATAGTTTTAACAAACACGTATGCATATTATATTTTATTTTTAAAAAAATACGGAAAAAAAACTAACATATTTTTTATTGTCTTCTGTCTATTTTATTTGTATAGCATCATGGAGTACGGAAAAAAACATACAAAAAAACAAGACAACGAACAAAACAATACTAATACCTCATCCTAAGTCTTTATCAATATTCAAAATCCAAACTTAAAACTTTTTTAATAAGTTGTCGATTATGTAAAATACACATCCAAACGCCGATTACCCTACAAAAAATAGTAAAACAACAAAACCCAAAAATAAATTATCAATAAAACAACATATTTATAATTTTATACAGATATAACAAATACAAATAACATGTTTGCAATTCCATACTCATATTCGGTACATGTATTATTTGTTTTACAGGTGTGATATTGAAACACTCAAGAGGAAACGCGATCAAATCAACAAAGACATACAACAAGTTCGAGATATTTCAGAAACAACCCTCACTACAGTTGAAAGTTGCAGAGACTGGATGACTGACATACGGGCAACAGGATCAAAGAGCGAGCTATCGATTAGACAATAAGGCATTGTTGTATACAAAGAAAAACAAATAACAACACAAGGAGATAATATTTTAGATGTCTATTTAGCAGACAAAGATTTATTTAACACATCAACACTCGACAGCATAATAGATGTACTAGCAAAAAACATTGATAATGCTAGAAAAAGAATATTCAAATACCTTAGAAAAGCAACAATTTGGCACGTTAAAAAAAACCATCAACCGCCACCGATTAAAACTTCTTTATATTTAAAAAGAACAACAGGTCACAATTACAATGACCTTTTTAACAAAGAAATGCCAACATTTAATACAAAATACAATAATCTAACACCGCCATTAGTAATAGCAAATAACACATCAGATTCCGTATATCAAACACATGCACAAGAAACTCCACAACCATCATCAATACCACCACCACCACCACCACCACCACTACAAACAACAACAACAACAAAAACAAGGAAAACATCACAATAGATACATTTCAAGTGGGCTTCTGCGTCTGTGTCAACGTGTCGCATTTTTACCGGCGGGCGACCAGGACGCAAAGTAGGTTCTTAGGAGGCAAAACAATTTGGGGGACTGGTCCTTCGTTAAATTGCGGCTTACCTACAGCTGCTCCTCGGGTAGAAGTGGACCCCAAAAACAAGTGGGTTGGAGCAGTCCTCGGCTGAAAGCGGACAAGTAAAAGTTTCATCGCTTTTGCATGTGTGCACAAGTATATGTGTTTTTTTTTTAATATGAATGTATGTGTGTGTATGTAGGTGTGCATATGTAGGTGTCTATGTGTAACCGCCATCAGGAATAGAGAAGGAGACACAACGGAACCGAGGTTCGACAAAACTCAGGGCGCAGTGAAATTCAGTTTTGGCAAAAACAGGATTAAACAAATTAATGGTTTTAATTAAAAATAAACTTTTCTTACTAACTAGGTCACTTGGGTCACCTTCAACATGGTCCCATTAGCAACTACACAGAAGTGTGGGCAATCCAGTGTGACATTGTGTAGACCCATAAAAAATGTCCTTTGATAAGCTAATACCTATGAATTTTAATTTTTGTACTTACCGCTTGCATTCATAAACAATCATGAACATTGCTTTTTGCTTCACCCCTACACAAAAGAAGTACCAACAGGCCCTATCCCATAATTTGCATAATTTGCAAGAATAACTTTGACAATTCCTTCTCGTGAAAATGACTCTCTCTTTGCTAGCCCTCCCCCCTTCTACACTCTCTCTCTCTCTCTCTCTCTCTCCCC